ACAGGAGCCTCTAGCTGTCCCCCTGGGTAGAGTGCTGTGGCATCACACCTCACAGCAACCTCCAACTCCTGGGCTCAAGCGTGTCTCCTGCCTCAGCCTCCCAGTAGCTGGGACCACAGGCGCCCACCACAACGACTGGCTATTTTTTGGTTGCAACCGTCATTGTTGTTTGGCGGGCCCAGGCTGGATTTGAACCCACCACCTTAGGTATATGTGGCTGGCGCCTTAGCCACTCGAGCCACAGGTGCTGAGCCACAAGTAAAGTTTTAAGATGGGTCCTTTGACATCTATATTTATTGATAGTTTTAAGCTCAGGGCCAGATAATTTTATGTTTTTATTTTTTCTTTGAGCCCTAGGGAAATAATCTTTTCTTTTGGTTGCCTCTGTCTTTTTTTTGCAGTTTTTACCCAGTGCAGGGCTTGAATCTGCCACCTCTGGCATATGGGGCCAGTGCCCTACTCCTTTGAGCCACAGGTGCCGCCCCTGGTTGCCTCTGTCTTATCCACAATTTTTGCCCTTAGATAGTGTCTCTTCCATTCCTCCTTCTACAACCACACACATATTTTCTTTCTCTGTCAGTACTGTAGTATGTGTGTGTGTTGGTTTTTTTTGAGACATAGTCTCATTATGTCACCCTCGGTAGAGTGCTGTTGCATCACAGCTCACAGCAACCTCAAACTCTTGGGCTTAAGCAATTCTCTTGCCTCAGCCTCCCACGTAGCTGGGACTACACGCACCCACCACAATGTCCAGCTATTTTTTTATTGTTTTGTTGTAGTTATTATTGTTGTTTAGCAGGCGTGGGCTGAGTTCAAACCCAGTGTATGGGACTGGCGCCATAACCACTGAGCTATGGGCACTGACCCAAGTAATGTATATTTTTTTATGCCTTCCTTTGAAGAAAGAACATAGAAGAAATCTTCCATTTCCTTGATATAGGCTGACCTTTATGGATTATTCACTGCCTCTGTTCTCTAATATCTGTGGTTATTTCACTTATTTATTTATTTACTTATTTGAGGCGGAGTCTCACTTTGTTGCCCTTGGTAGAGTGCCATAGCATCATAGCTCACAGCAACCTCCAACTCTTGGGCTCAAGCGATTCTCTTGCCTCAGCCTCCCAAGTAGGTGGGACTATAGGGGCCTGCCACAGCAACGGCTATTTTTAGAGATGAGGTCTCTCTCTGGCTCAGGCTGGTCTCAAACCTGTGAGCTCAGACAATCCACCCAACTTGGCCTCCCAAGTGCTAGGGTTACAGGCATGAATCACGGAGCCTGGTCAGCTGTGGTAATTTTAAATGCACTAGAATTACAATTTTAAGATGCCAACTTTCCTAATGAACATTTATCTTCTTTTACACTAAAACAAACAAAAATCCACTGTCATTAAAGAAAAATCACAAAACAAAAAACCAACCAACCAAACAAACCCCCCCACAAGGATTGGTTATTTCCTCTTGGCATTAAAAAAAACCCACATTAATTCTTTCTGAGAGCAAAAATATTTATTGCAGACAAATGTAAAAATATAGAAAAACAATAAAAGGAAAACAAACCTCCCTATTTTGGTATTACATGATGGCAAACATTTTTATATTTTTAAAAACAAAATTGGATTAATCTTGAACATGCTGTTTTGTAATCAAACTTGTTCACATAATTATGATATTTGTATTTTCTATGTTAGCAAGTATTTCTCAAGATTATTATTTCAGTGGTTAATATTCCAACTGATATTGTGATTTAACTAATGTATCCTACCACAGAACATTTAAATTGTTTTCTAATTTAAAACAGTTAACTGCAGATGTCTCTCCATTCTTGGTGATCATTTTACTTGTTTATTCAATATATCTCTGGTCTGCAGGGTGCTGGGCTTATGCAGACAGGGGAGAGTCCCAAGGCTGAGATATTCAAAGTTAGGAGACAGAGGCTGAGCCCCTTGTCTCTCTTTGTAGGAAACTACCCCTCCTCCAACGATTACCATTGGAAAATGTAGAAGTGCAAATGGAGGAAAGTAGAATCCACAACTCTCCTATTCTCTTGCCCTGACGCCCAGGTCTTGAAGTACACACACCCCAGGTGGTCCAAGTTAAGAGAGCAAGCACACTTTGAACACACCTCCAAGTTCAAAGAGCCTCCTTATCCCTCAATTTGCATAGGTTGCATTGAAATAACACCTTCTAAATCTGGGAGTCTATATTGTTTTCCTATTGGTCAGTGTCTAGAACTTAATTTTATTATCTGACAAAGATTAAAACCAAGAGGGTTGAATATTTCTAGTTTCCCCATCAGCTTGGTGGATTATTGGGATAGGGAAACAGGGTTTCTTATATCCTCTCTGATTCTAAGGTTTACAAAGGGAATAATAAAAGGTCCCAGCTGCAGATATCATAAAAAGCATTTCTTGCAAAATGAAGTTTATTTCCCATCTAAGAAAATAAAAAAACAAAGTCTGGATGCAGTGGCTCATACCTGTAATCCTAGCACTCTGGGAGGCTGAGGCAGGTGGATTGCCTGAGCTCATAGGTTCGAGACCAGCCTGAGCAAGAGCAAGACCCTTGTCTCTACTAAAAATAGAAAAACTGAGGCAAGTGGATTGCTTGAGCCTAAGAGTTAGAGGTTGCTGTGAGCTATGATGTGAAGGCACTCTACTGAGGGCAACAAAGTGAGACTCTGTCTCAAAAAAGAAAATAACAGAATTGGTTTATAGCTCTCTGGGGGGAAATGACTCTCGTGAGCCTTTCTAGGTAAGTCTTAGTCGCCTGTTCATTTTCTTTTCTTTTTTTTTTTTTGAGACAGAGTCTCACTATGTCACCTTTGGTAGAGTGCTGTAGCTTCATAGCTCGCAGCAACCTCAAACTCTTGGGCTTAAGCGATTCTCTTGCCTCAGCCTCCCAAGTACCTGGGACTGCAGGCGCCTGCCATAATTCCTGGCTATTTTTTCATTGTAGTTGTCATTGTTCTTTAGCTGGCCTGTGCCAGGTTCCAAACCGCCAGCCTCTGTGTATGTGGCTGGCACCCTGCCCACCGAGCTATGGGTGCCCAGCCCACCTATTCATTTTCTGCGACCTTTCCCTTTGCATGGCTCCAGAAGTGGTATATGAGCTGGAAATGTCCTTAGGTTATGTTGGATCCTGGTTTCTGCAGACTTGGGTGACAAGGACTTTTCAAAAGTGCATACTCAGGTGAAAACCTAACATCTAACCCTCTAAAAACCTCCCAGAAGGCAGATATGTGGTCTCTGCCACATTTATTTGCATAGATTTGTAGTTGGTATTTTTTGAACTAGCCAGCATAAGGAAAGGTTGCTCCTTCAGGAATCTGAACAGAACGCTTTCATTTTCGTGCTTCTATTCTCTCTGATTCTCAGTGGTGCAGCTGGTTTGGACATGATTGAAACTTAAAGGAACAAACACTTTGAAGGTCCTTCTAGATATGAACCCCCAAACAAACTCTCCCCCTTTAGCAAGCTGCTTAAGTATAGGCAATAACTGGAAACTAACTTGCAGAAAAGGTGAAATGGGTCTGCCCAAGTAGGAGGCCCAGGTTCCAATTTCAGCTCTGTCAAGAATATGATGTATAGCTCGGCGCCTGTGGCTCAAGTGGCTAAGGCGCCAACCACATACACCTAAGGTGGCAGGTTCGAATCCAGCCCCGGCCCGGCAAACAACAATGATGGCTACAACCAAAAAATAGCCGGGTGTTGTGGTGGGCGCCTGTGGTCCCAGCTACTTGGGAGGCTGAGGCAGGAGACTCGCTTGAGCCCAGGAGTTGGAGGTTGCTGTGAGCTGTGATGTCACAGCACTCTACCCAGGGGGACAGCTTGAGTCTCTGTCTCAAAAAAAAAAAAAAAAATATATATATATATATATACAAAAAAAAAGACTGATATACAATCTTCAGCCTTTATTTTCGTACATATAGCAGATGTCATGAGGATTACAGACCAACACTGTGATTTCCCAATTGTTTTCCAGTCCACTCTCTCCAAAAGAGAAGCTGTGTCCCCCTCCACTCACTTGCAGCTGACCAACTGAGTTTGTGTAGGGTGTTATCAGGCACTTCCCTTACCCAGAGTGTCACCAGGGGAGCGTGTGCAGTAGTACTTGTTCACCACATGCCTACACTGGTCACACTTGACTGTACAGCACCACTGGAATTTGCAGTTACAGCTGCTTATGGCCTCAGTTCTCTTCTCTTCCACCTGTAGCCCACACTCAGTGCATAAGCGCCCACAGCTATGTTGCTCCTGTCTAGATGTGTTGTGGGTGTTCTGCAGACACTCACGACCCTCTGTGCCATAGATGCCCAGGCTGGAATTGTGGGTACAGTAATCTGGTGATTCTTCTAAAAAGATCAGCTCAGCCTCTACGCTAGGAAGAAAGGCCTCAGTGGGTGCCCAGCCACCCTCAGCACTGTTCCCAGCCCTTAGCTGCCGCTTATCCATCTCAATTTTTAGTGCCTGGTCATACTTGGCCTTCAGGTAGTCTCCCATCTCCCGGAAGTCAGCCAGCTGCAACCAGCATGTCTGGATGCTGCAACTCCCCGAGATGCCGTGACATTTGCAGGTCCTTTTCATGGTGGCTCTCACTGCCTTCACAGAGAAAACGAAAGAAAGGATGGCTAGCAATCAAATAGAATATTTTAGAATAGTGTTTTCTTGACTTTGGAGGAGCAGCACAATTTTTTTGAGGAAGCTTATGAAGAATATTTATTCCTGGACCCTACCTCAGATCTGCTCAATGAGAATGTTTAGGGGATAAAGGGCCTAGTACTGGTGATTTTAAGTTTCCCTGTGTCATTCTGGTAGAGAGCAAGTGTTGAGAAGGTTACTAGAGTCCAGCAACCTAGGCTCTAGGCCTGACTGCATCATTTGTTTCTGTGGAGCTTGTTTCTCTATCTGCCCAATTAGAATAAGAATTGAATAAAATAATGATCAATGAAGTGCCTTCTAAATTATAAGGGAAAACATGATCAATGCCAATATTATTATCTTGAAGCTGGAAATTAGAGTATTGGTGGGGATTTGAATTTGTCCTTTGGCCCCTCCTCAAAGGGGAGGAAGCTCCTTGAACCTTCATAGCCTCAAGGCAATTAATTACCCAGGGTTATATTTGCCTAAAAAGCCCCTTCCCCTTGCCTTGAGCAACCAGGGCATCTAAGTACAGATTCACAGGGAAACTTCTATGGTTTTGGCTCTACATCCAACTTGCTTTCAGATTTGAGTTCAGAATACTCCAGAGATTGCCACTCTACCAGAAATCTTAGAGGAGAATAGATATTTCAGAGAAGCCCAGATCAGTCCCAGTTCCTATCAGACAGACTTAGGGACATAAGCATACACAATAAACCCCTGTAAATTTCCTAGGATATACAGTCGAAGTAATTAAAAATTTAAGTCATGGAACCATGGCCTTGGGTCTGTATTGTTCTGTTTTCTCAGAAAGCCTGAGGAAGGGCACAGCATAAGATTTAGAGATAAGAGGATGAGGCTAGAAGATCTGAATGTTGTTGCCTTCTTCTGACATTAGTTGTATTGCCTTGGATAAACCACTTGGCTCTGACTTCACTGGCTTTGTTATTCAGAGAATGGGGACAGCTGTCTCAGTCCTGCTGGGTGGTGTGAGGATAAAATGTAGGTATGAGATAGATAGCTTTTGGTAAGTTGTGAAGGCCTGTGCAAATGTGACACTGTTGCCAATACTGACCAACTCCTATACCCACCAGCCTGCCGGCCCTGTTGTTGTGAAGATTCATCAGGGCTCTGGCATCCTTCCCCTTCTCCAAACTGTCCACAAAGAGTTTAGAGATCCTTTCCCCAAATTCCACATTGTCGCTGCAGCCTCCCCAGATCCAGCCATGGCCTCCTATACATAAGGAAAGAATAAGTTCTACATATAGCTCCCTGCTACGCCCCAGTAGAACAGACTTTGGCTGACACACCTAAACCATCCCCAAGAGTCCTAGGGTATTAAGGGTATAAAACTATTGCTGAAGGTGAGTCAGGGAAGGTGCTTGGGGTAGGAGGGCAGTTCTGCTCTCAAAGCCAACTGCCCAATACTTCCCATCTCTAGGTAGTTAAACTTCTACACCCACAGTAAAAGCAGGCACACTAGAGTTGGCCTCGATGATCTGAAAGGTTCATTACAGCTCAAACATACTGGAATTCTGCACCATTACTCTACAATAGTCTTTTTGTTTTCTTTTGTTTTTTTTGAGACAAAGTTTTGCTCAGTTACCTGGGCTACAGTAATGCAGTGGTGCTATCACAGCTCATTATAACATAAATCTTTTGGGCTCAAATAATCCTATCTCAACCTTCTCAGTAGCTGGGACTATAGGCATGTGTACCAGGCCTATCTAATTTTTCCATTTTATTATTATTTACTTATTTATTTGATTTATTTTTTTAGAGACGAGTCTCACTTTATCACCCTTGGTAGAGTGCTGTGGTGTCACAGCTCACAGTAACCTCCAACTCCTGGGCTTAGGTGATTCTCTTGCCTCAGCTTCCTGAGTAGCTGGGACTACAGGCGCCCGCCACAATGCCTGGCTATTTTTCTGTTGTTGTTGCAGTTTGGCTGGGGCCAGGTTCAAACCTGCCACCCTCGGTGTATGGGGCTGGTGCCCTACCCAATGAGCCACAGGCGCTGCCCTTATTTATTTATTTAGAGATAGAATCTCACTCTGTCACCCTGAGAGAGTGCCATAGCTTCCATCATCATAGCTCGCAGCAACCTCAAACTCTTGGGCTCAAACAATCCTCTTGCCTTAGTCTCCTGAGTAGCTGGGACTACAGGCACCCACCACAATGCTTGGCTAGTATATTTCTTTCTTTCTTTCTATTTTTAATAGAGACAGGGTCTTACTCTTGTTCAGACTGGTCTCGAACTCCTGAGGTCAAGCAAACCACCTGCCTCTGCCTCCCAGAGTGCTGGGATTACAGGCATCAGCCACCATGCCCAGCTTAACTTTTCCACTTTTTTTTTTTTTTAAATGGAGATCTGGGTGGTGCCTGTGACTCAAAAGGGTAGGACACTAGCCTTATATGTGGTGGGTTCAAACCCAGACCTGGCCAAAAAAAGGGGATCTCACTATGTTGCTCAGGCTGTCTTGAATTCCTGGACTCAAGCAATCCTCATCACCACCACCCCTGCCACCAAAGTGCTAGAATTACAGATGTGAGCCACTGTGCCTGGCCTCTACAATAGTCTAGTTAGGGCTTCCTCCTCTCTCATTAGTAGTAAATCTGTATGTCTCATAGGTGGTCTGCAGATCATTTTTTTTGTTTTTTGAGACAGAGTCTCACTTTGTTGCCCTCGGTACAGTGCCATGACATCAGAGCTCACAGCAACCTCAAACTCTGGGGCTTAAGCAATTCTCTTGCCTCAGCCTCCCAAGTAGCTGGCACCATAGATCATTGAGTAGCTCTGGATTATGGAGGAGCCATTCCAAATCTGAAATACCAAAGCTAGCTTTAAACTCTCTTTAGCCTTCCCATTCCTAATCACCTTGTTAGTTTTAGAGTTACTTGCTAATCCCTGAACTCACGGACCCAGGCTAAACTCTTAGGAGAGTCTTGGTCCAGGACATCCCACAGTAGAAGGAGCTATTGGAGTCTAGGGGTTTGAGGGAACTGTGTCCCTCAGACTTTCCCTGGAAGACTTCAGTTTGCACTTAGCTCTGCATCCCCTCACATCTTCCCACCCTGATCAGAAAGCCCAACCTACCTGTTTTTCCATTTTTTGATTCATCACAGCCACAGTTTTCAAAGTCGCCCATGCTACAGTTCTTGGTGATGGTGTACATGACTCCAGCAGAGCTGATAGCATGAATGAAGGAAGTCTCTCTGGTAGCTTTGGAGAGGAAGAGGGGACTGAATGGAAACCTGAGCCCCATGACCAAATATAGAGTCTTTGGAACAACAATGCTTTCTCTCCCCATCTTCCACCTCCTTTGCGTTTAAGAGGATGCTCTGCTACTTGAAAGAACAATGCATATCTTTCCAGGTAGGAATGAGACGGAGACCACTCTCCATTTGCAGTGCTGGGATTAGGACCCTACTCTCCAGGAGTCCAGCTGAGACCTTTGTCCATTGGCTACTGCTGCTGGCCCTTACGCTGTGAGATTCAGGGCCATGAGGGTGGCTTAGAAAAGAAAAAAGGAGGCTCAGCACCCATAGCTCAGTGAGTAGGACGCTAGCCACATACACCAAGGCAGGCTGGCCCGGGCCTGCTGAACAAAAATGACAACTGTAACAATAACAACAACAAAATAGCTGGGTGTTATGGTGGGCACCTGTAGTCCCAGGTACTTGGGAGGCTGAGGCAAGAGAATTGCTTAAGCCCAAGATTTTGAGCTATGATGCCACCCGCACTCTACCAAGGGCAACATAATGAGACTCTGTCTCAAAAAAAAGGAAAGAGAAAAGGACATTTTTCTTCTTTCTGACCATGAAGCCAAGCTATGAAATAATGATAATGATCGTGGCTGCTACTTTACGAGTTCTTAGGTTACTAAACTCTTTACAAACATTGCCATATTTCATTTCCTTATACTTACCGTTCTATCTGTATATCCCATGGGAAGATATTTCTTTCTGTCCCCCTTTTCTTTATTCTCTTCTCAGGCAACACTCCATTGCTTCTTCAAAAATGACTTTTATGCAAACTACTGCACACAGTTACAAATGGCTGCATGGGTGAATGTCTATGCATGGGGACGTCTGTGTGCACACACACATACACACACCTGAGGCACAGTTCAATGTGTCCTCTCAGCTTTTTGGTTGTATTATGATAGTTGGCCCCTCAGGGACTGCAAACACAGCCCTTTCCTTATTTTTATTTCATGCAAATCAGCGTACACACAAATACAGGCATGCATTTTTAAAAATAGAGTAATTTCTTACATTTATATAGAGACACTTCATATTCACCTCATTCAACCCATAGAATATTTCTGGTGAGCTAAACAGAGATGGACCCTGACCCAAATCTGGGGTTGAGAGTGGGGAAGTAATTCACTCAAGGTCATACAGTAAGGAAATGGTAGGTCAGCAGATCATGGGAACATTTTCATTTCACTGCACACACATACATCACACATACACATATACTGCAAGCACATTTACCCTCTCCTACAGGTGTTGTCCCACACAAACTTACCACTTCTAAGCCTGTTGTGCGTAGAGAGCTGGAGAGCATTTTCAGGGCAGTTCCAGCGTTCCCAAGCAAACTGGAACTTACATTCCTCGATGCCACTCTGGGCACCCAAGGCCACACTAGTAGTGTAGGTCAGATAAGCCTGGCAAGGGGAAGAGGGCGATGAGCTTCTACCTGACATCTGGGGTCTGGGGAGCAGGAAGGACTCAAATGGTCTGGCTCCTCACTCAGAAACAATCATGGATACTTCTGGATGAGGGGGTCTGGCACTGTCTCCCCTCCCCTCTTTTCTTTTCCATTAGAGTCCCCTTGGAATCCCAGAGGTTAAAAACAGGAGGCCATCCTACCTTGGGACCTGTTATCAGGAAATTGTTCACTGACCTACCAGAAAGACAAAAAGTGAAGCAGAGATGAATGGGGGATGAGAAAACCAGGGCTTCCTTGGTGTGGAGGGTGAGTGGAGGTAGGGACTTACCAGGCAGAGGAACTGAATGTGGCACAGCTTATGCCCACAGCCACCCAGAGGATAAGCAGGTCCCCCATGGCCCTCCCACCCCCAGGGGACCAGTTCCAGCTCAGGGCCAAGTCCAGAGAAGTGAGGAGAGGGCAGGGTCTTTCTCTGCATTTATGTGAGGAAATTCTGAATGGCCAAGGGGGAAAAACCAACAGCCCTTCTCATTTGTTCCTCACAGGCAAGGCTGCAGGAGTCACTGACCCAATGGGGGATCTGGGAGGAGGGATCAGCCCAAACCTTCAAGGAAAGCCCCGCCCTGCCCAGGCTGGCCAGCTCTTCTTCACTCCCAGACTGAGAGAGCCTAAAGCTTTCTTCCTACCCTGAAGGTTTATTTCCTTTATAAGTCCATTGTCTTGTCCTGATTGAGGGCCCATTTCTCAGAATTAGGTAGGCTGGAGTAGGGTAGGTCCTTAAGCCTGAAGGCAAGTCACTTATTCCTGGAGCTAAGCCTGAAGGCAAGTCACTTATTCCTGGAGCTAAGTGTCCCTATTTGTCAATAAGACCCCATTCTTTGCCCTGCCTTCCTCCCGGAGGTGTTAATAATCATAGAGGATCTCCTTGTGGGGACCGCTCCCACTCTTTTACCCAAACAAGTGAGTGCACCATCCCTCCCTGCTCCCTTGCTGGTTGTAAGGGGATGGAATTGTGGGATGATGGAGCAGAAATGCTTCAGAGTTGTCTCTGCAACAGTCCCTTCCACCATATTCTAGCAAAGTAAGTTCTGGTAAATGTCCTGCATTCCTAGTAGGGCTATTCTTCTGTATTTAAAGGTTAGATCTCTAGTTTGTTAAGTTCTTACATACTTCAGAATCAACCTCTGGGCCACCCTCGCCTATGTTTGAAAAGACTGATATCTGTCTTTATGCCATTTTGTTACTAGGACTTCAGCTCCTTAGGCAGGAGTCTTTTAGATTCACTTTGTATTCTTAGTGCTACGGTGGCTCACACCTGTAATCCTAACAGTCTGGGAGACTGAGGTGGGTGGCTTGTTTGAGTTGAGAAGTTCAAGACCAGCCTTAGCAAGAGTGAGACTCTGTCTCTGGTAATAATAGAAAATAACTAGCTGGGCATGGTGGTGCATGCCTGTAGTCTCAGGTACTCAGGAGGCTGAGGCAAGAGGATTTCTTAAGCTGAAGAGTTTAAGGTTGCTGTGAGTCATGATGCCACCAAGGGAAGAAAAAAAAAAAAGAACAAATGAATGAATGAAAGAACTTGTGCCCCTGCTAGGGACTCAAGGCATGGCACTATTAGGTAGTGGTGGGGACTACTGTGGAGAAGGTGGAAGTCTTTCTTGGTTGGTAGCCCTCTTTCCTAGGACTGGGGAAGGAAAGGCTGGAGAAGTTTAGAGGAAAGCACAGACAGGAGGCCAGGACTGAGAGCTCACGCCTGTAATCCTAGCACTCTTGGAAGCTGAGGTGGGTGTATGGCTTGAGCTCAGGTGTTCAAGACCAGCTTGAGTAAGAGTGAGACCCAGTCTCTAAAAATAGCTGGGCATTGTGGTGGATGCCTGTAGTCTCACTACTGGGGAGCCTGAGACATAAGGATTGCTTGAGCCCAAGGGTTTGAGGTTGTTGTCATCTATGATGCCAACACACTCTACCCAGGGCAACAAAGTGAGACTCTGTTTCAAAAAGAAAGAAAGAAAAAAAGAAAGCACAGATTGGAAGTGATAGTTCTGATTCATTACCCTGTGATCCAGATTCCTTCCCAGTACCCTAGACCTGAGTTAGATTGGACGAGGAACAGAGATTCCCCCATAAAAGGAGTGCCAGGGGCTAAAGAGTCCCCAGGCCTCTTTAGGGCAGTGCCCAAAAGTATGATCCAGGATTGGTGTCAGTCTGCAGATGGATTGTATCCTTCTATGATAAGGTAAGTATGGAAATGGAAGTGTTTGGAAATTTTTAAAGGAATTTGATGGAGTAATTTTAGATGTGTTGAAAGTAATAATAGGAAATTTGAGCTCTTATTTTATATTTCTTTTTCAGGTCTCATTTTTCTTTTCTTTTCTTTTTTTTTTTTGAGACGGAGCCTCAAGCTATCCCCCTGGG